CCATGTCAGTCCACTCTTGCCTAGGATATCCATCTTTATGCATTCCATTTCATTTTTGTCAGCTTCCAGTTTTCCTAGATTAATACTTTGTACAGTCCTCATTCCAATTATTAATGGATGTTTGCTGCTGTTTCTTCTTATTGTGAGTCATACCACCTCAGCAAATGAAGGTCCTGAAAACTTTATCCCAGCCTCTTCATTAAGTTCCACTACTTTGAGGAGTCAGCTCTTCCCAGTCGTATTTTGAGTTCCTTCCAAGCAGAATGGCTCATCCGGCACTGTATCAGACAGTGTTCCACTGCTATTCATAAGGTTTTCACTGACCAATTTTTATAGAATTAGATTGCCAGGTCCTTCTTCCTAGTCTCTTAGTCTGGAAGCTCTGCTGAAATCTATCCACCATGAGTGACTCTCCTGGTATTGAAATACCAGTGGCATAGCTTCCAGCATCACAGCAACATGCAAGCCACCACAGTGTGACAAACTGACAGATAAGTGGTGACTCATTAACACGTTGTTGTTGTTGTTGTTTGCCATTGAGTCGGCCCTGACTCATAGCGACCCCTCCTTGGGTTTCCGAGGCAGTATCACTACGGAAGTAGGAATGCCCAACCTTCCTTCCGAGGAGTGGCTGGTGGGTTTGAACCACCAGCCTTCTGGTTAGCAGTCAAGTGCCTTAGCCACTATGCTACCAGAGCTCCTCAGTAACACATAGGGCACTATAAATCAGAATACACTCCAGGGGATTTTTTTTTTAATTATTGGTGGTGTTGTTTTAAAACGGAAGGATCTAAATGCCCTTTGTTCAATAAATATTTTAATGATATTCGGGGATTGTTAGGTGCTAAGGACACAAAAGCCTTGAAGGAGCTCACATCCTAGCAGCAGAGACATGTTAAACTAATAACTGGCATACCCAAAAAAGTGTTTTGATAAATAATATGAACAATTCCCTCATTTAGATTAAGCCTCCAGTATTATGAAACCCCACCCAAGCCATAAAGTGCCAGACTACTAATAGTCCCAAGTACCTGTTGAACTAGACCATGGCAACTACTTTGTGGATTGTGTCCCTAGGGAAGGTGTCCATGCTCTCCTGACACTCAGGTTCTTTCCTTGATGCTTTTCTGACTGCACTGTTGGGCCCCTCAAACTCAACCCAGGCCCACCCCTTCTGATACCTGAATCTTCATCAGGCCCTACATCTTTTTTGTTGTTGTTTTGGTTGGTCTGTTCAATCCTCTAGATCAAAAGTTACTGTCAATTAATTTGTATTATCCAAAATGTTCAGTATTTGTGGGAAGAAATAATTAGGTGATTATAAAGGGATGAGGGGAGATTTTAGTAGTGATGGATATATTTATCATCTTGAGTTTGGTAATATTTTCACGAGTTTATACATATGTGGAAACTTATCAAACTGTACACTTTAGATATGTAAAATTTATTGTACATCAGTTGTCCCACAGTAAAACTCAAACTCACTGCCATCAAGTCAATTCCAACTCATATGACCCCCATTGGGTTTCTGAGGTGGTAAATCTTCGCAGAAGTAGATTGTCCCATCTTCCTTCCACAGAGCAGCTGGTAGGTTTGAACTACCAAACTTCTGGTTAGCAGCCAGATGCCTTAAGTACTGCATCACCAGAGCTCCTTTCCCCCAGTCAAGTTATACAAAATTAGAAGCAAGCAAGCCAACCTCACCTTAATTCCTAGTGATTTTGTGAAGGAGAGAACACCTTTAAAGGTGAACTTGAGGTTATAAATTCTGATGACAGAAAACTGTAAACCAAAGCACCTAAATCTGGACCAGCATATAAGTTCCATGAGAAGAAACTTCTTCTGTGCTGCTCACATTGCATCCCCAGTGCCTGATGTAAGGTGGTGGTGGTGGTGGTTGTTATGTGCCGTCGAGTCGGATCCGACTCATAGCGACCCCTCCTTGGGTTTCCGAGGCAGTATCACTATGGAAGTAGATTGCCCCATCTTCCTTCCAAGGGGTGGCTGGTGGGTTCGAACCGCCAGCCTTCTGGTTAGCAGTCAAGTGCCTTAAGCACTATACTACCAAAGCTCCTTGATGTAAGGTAGACTTTTTAAATATCTGAGGAATAAATTAACAAAGAAAGGAGGGAAACTGAAATCAGGCAAGATTCAGAGTGATGGCAAAGACAGTATGAACCTCATCATGGTCCAACAAGTTTCACCAACTGCCCTACCATGCTCACCCACACTCTTACTTCTGAAGCCTAGGGGACAAAGGAGAGAGTCAGCAGAAGTAGTAAGTCCCTACTAAAGTCCTATTATACAGCCAGCCCAGGAGCAATAGGGGAAAACATTAGGGTTAGAATTACTTTGTGGAAGATTTATTTATAAAGTCAAGGAAAATCCCAGGGCTTGGGGTTATTGGGGCCACAATTCATGGGGTTGTATAGAGGGAGATTGTATGGGAAGGCCAGCAGCTGGAAAAGGTTCCACTCCTACGCTAGCATTAACATCACTCAACACTGCCACAACCCAGCCATCTGGGAATCAGAATTCCAGGAGTCCGGGAGGGAGCCAAAGACCTGACTTCCATTAGCGAAGGCTGCTTCCTGACTCATACTTAGCCAAATGACCTCCCACTCACTGGACCCTTCTCTTTGCAGTTTCTTCATTCTTCCCACCAGATACCCCATCTGTAATGAGGAATGCAACAGTCCTATATTCTTTGGTAACTCTAAGAGCAGGCAGATAAGAAGAGGATCTTTCCTTACCTAATAGCAGTCACTCAGCCCTTTTAGATGCTCTTCCTCGGGCAGTTGCTCTCCTTCTCTCCTTCTCCACTCAATCCCTCCTTCTTCATCTTCCTAGCCTTCGAACAGTCCTGTGCCTACCCACACAGACCCCAAGGTCGAGCTGCACCTTCTCTAGACTTGATCTATATACCTCAGCTGCTCTTTTCCTACACAAACCCTGGGGCCAGCCCAGCCCCGCAGCCACGTGTGGGCCCGCCTTCCGTGGCAGCCCCTCCCCCACTTCTTTCTCTCACCCCATTCAGTTTGCCATCTTCCATACAGAAGTTTTCAGAGCTGAAGCCTGAGCCTAAGACAAATCTTTCCCTACCACCCCACTGTAGTCCTTGCTACCTCTTTCCCCTACTTTTCCTGCCTCAGTTCCCACATAAGGCTGATGCTTCTGGAAGGCTTCTAAAGAGTTGGTAAGTAAAGAAAGGCAATTTTTTTTTTCACCACACCACTGCTTTCTGACACAGCATAACCCAACAGAGGGCAGGCTGAGAGAAGGAAGGGAAAGGGATCAATGTGCAGGCCCAGGGAACCTTAATTCCAGGTTTTGAAGGAACTCACTGCCTCACTCTCACCTAGCAGTCTGGGTGGTGAAGGAGCATGAAGGGGAGGATACCCAGAGGAAGTACCCCCCAAAACACACATTTTTTTCAGTTTAAGAAGGAACTAGAGGAAAGAAACCACTTCAGAGTATTCCTTCCTCCCTTTCCCAGGAATAATACTTTTCATTCCCCTCTGTGACCCAGAACACAGACCACGTTAAAATAAACCCTCACATCTAGACAGACATATGGTCTGACACATGAAAGAATATTTTAGATTGTACATCTTGAAGAAAATCCAGATCTCTCCATTTCTCCTTCTCCTTAAAAAAGGTCATGGACTCAGGATTCCCAAGACAGAGAAAAAAGATTAAAGTTGTGTCTGTAGGAGAAAGATTTGAAGAAGAGAAAAAGAAGAGTGTCAATTCCTGTTTTCACTGAAGGATGTTTTTCAAACTGTGAGTCTTCATCCACTGTTGTTGTTGTTGTTGTTGTTGTTGTTGTTGTTATATGCCGTCGAGTCAGACCCGACTCATAGTGACCCCTCCTTGGGTTTCTGAGGCAGTATCACAACAGAAGTAGATTGTCCAACCTTCCTTCCAAGGAGTGGCTGGTGGGTTTGAACTGCCAGCCCTCTGGTTTGCAGTCAAGTGCCTTAGGCACTATGCTACCATAACTCCTATCCACTAGAGGATGGATTAAGATCAATTTTTTTTTCTTTTTTATAGAACAGAATGGAAATAGTTAGGGTATTATTTCATATATGTACACATAGGATTAAGATATATTTTTTACTATGGACCATAATTAAAGTATGAAAGCTGTTAACTTATGGGACCATTTGTGATTTAAAAAAGAAAGAGGTTCCTTCCCACCCATCTTCTCCAGACAAAACAATGACACCCAGCACCATCCTGCCTCCTGCTTTATTTTCCAGAGATCTTCCATCCCCATCTCCTCTGGTCCCATTCATGCTGATTCCAGAGTCCATGTTCTCAGGTCTGGGCTCCTCAATGTCAAGTGAAGCCTTGCCAACACCACGGCTAGTGGCCAACCCACAACCTACCACAGCCTGATGGAGCCTCTGGCAACCAGGGATGCTCTTGTTCCCTGAAAGAAGAAATTCAAGGGTGAAATGGACATACTTCCAGCCTCTGTCTTCTCCCACCCATGCCATGATGCTAAAGGGCCCCTCATCTATCTTGATGGAGAAAAACAGCCACCTGCAGAGTGGAAAAAAGAATGCAGGATGACTGTTGTTTGAATGAAAAGCATGGAAGTGGTATTCTTGAATTTGTAGCGTTCCACTCAAGGGAACATTTTTATCCTACTATCCTACCATCATTTCTCTTTCACTGGCATCTCCCTACCCCAGGCCTTAGGAGAGTCACCTAACCCCTCTTTTCAGTCTCTGTTTCCATAAGTGAGCCCTCTTCAGTCTACCTGCTCACTTCTTCCTGACTCCACTCAGTGATTTCCCATGGACCTCACGTCACATGCTCAATGCCTCACAGTACTCCTGAGTGTCAGCCACTCACAGGGGTAAAAGGAGAGATAAAAGGAGACTCCAATCCCCTTCCTGCCTTCTTTCCCAAGTCCTTTCTCCCAAGCTCCTTCCCTCATCACCTTCAACCTACAACTCACAACAGAGAAATCCTGTACCTCATAGGGCCCGGGCTGCCTTATTCCTCCTGCGTGCTGAGGATTCGCAGTAGGATATTGTATACATCCTGTTCCATGTAGCCCTGTAGGTGGCAGGAAGGAAATAAAAGAAGGTGAAGAACAGAGAATAGGGATTCAGGCAAGGAGAGATTCTGTGGTATCAGGGAATAATATTTACTATGTGCCCTAACTTATAGTATTTAACTTCTCCTTGGTTGTTTCCTTATCTTTACAAGGAAGCTTAATGATGTCTCCTTTCCAGATTCCTATGAGGGTTACAAGCATAATATGAAGCAAAGCACCTGGTACAGAACAGGCATTTGATTCTTTGTGATTACCATTATTATGAAGAAAGGGGCAATTCCTTCACCTCTCCTTCCTTGGCAAAGGATAAGTTTTGCTCAGGAAAAAAACTGAAAAAGAGTTAAGGGGAAAGAAAAAGACCTTCCAATAGATCAGGATATTGAAAGGCAGGGGCAAGCACCTCTTCTCCAACATGTTCATGTACAGTTTCTCTTGAGATCCAGCCACCTACACTGGGACATCCAAAGTCCAGCTCTGTAATAAATGGTAACTATGTCCAGATAAGGGAAGGGACCCCAAATGCAATACCCCTAGGCCAGCACTCTATCTCTGCCTTCCTCAAAACTCCCCCATGCTCACCCGAGCAGCATTCAGTAGATGATTCCTATAGATGGAGATGATCTCTTCGTGGTTCTTCTGGGAATCCTGGAAGGGAGCATCAATGGGAGGTCATGTGCTTACATTTCCCACAATTACCCAGATCCCACAAGCATGAGGAATGCTGAGGTGAGGACTAGTAAGGAGAGCCCAGATAGACTCCGTGGTTCGTCACTAGTGCAGCCTGGTCCACTGCCTGGCTAACCCACCATCATCAAGTGGATTCCAACTTATAGTGACTCCCACTGGGTTTCCAAGACTGTAAATCTTTATGGAAGTAGATTGCCTCATCTGCCACCTACAGAACCCCTGGTGGGTTTGAACCACTGACCTTCTGGTTAGCAGCCAAATGTCTTACCCACTGTGCCACCAGAGCTCCTTTTACTACCTGGTTAGCCCTCTGTAATTTCCAGAATCTCTCCCACATACACATCATCACCACCACTGTCCACCTCTTTCTCTCTCAGCATCCATTTCCTTGAGGGCCAGAGCATACCTGCAGCTGTAGGGCAAGGTGAGCATTTTCTCCACGAACTGCTAGGACCTCCTCGGAAAGCTGCTCCAGCTTCTTCAACAGTTCCTTGATCTGAGGCCAAAAGGAAAGAAAGGGAACAATGAGACCCAAGTTATTTCTAATCCCAAATCCCACCTTTACTCAGGGTTATAGTCAGCTTCCTTTGATACTTTTACATGCATTATTATTTTAATACTCCAAACAACTATCTGAGGCAAATTTTATTATACATATTTTGTAGATAAGCAACCTGAGTTAAATAATTTGTCAAAATCATACAGCTAATAAGTGATGACAGCATTATATGAACCAAGATCTCTTTGCCTCCAGGGTCCATGTTCTTAACTTTAGACTGGCTCCTCATCTATCTCTGGCTGGGATAGGTATCTATCATAGTACATAATACTGATGGAAATGTTTGCTGCTAGAAATCTTTTGATAGATAGAACTCACTCTGAGGGAAATGGACATGAGCTCATGTGGTTTGTGAGACTGATCCACAAATGCAGTTAATGGTAACCAGCAGCCATAGCAACAGTGGTAGTAGGAATGATAATAATACCAAACCCACTGCTGTTGAATTGATTCCAACTCATAGCAATACTATAGAACAGGGTAGGATTGCCCTATAGGGTTTCCGAGGCTACATATACATTCTTACAGAAGCAGACTGCCATATCTTTCTCCCACAGAGCTGCTGATGGGTTTGGCTGGTGGGTTTCAACCTCCGACCTTTACAGTCAGCAACCAAGCTTTTAATTACTGTGCCACCAGGGTTCCTAATCCCCACGACTACCCTATTATTATCCCCATTTTAAAGATGAGAAAACTGAGGCTTAGGGGGTGTTAAATAACCTGTCCAAGATTGGACAATCAGTAACTTTTGAAACTGAAATTCAATTTCAGATCATCTCAGTCTAGGGACCACATTCCTAACCACTATACTATATTTTCTCTTGCCCATACATATACTTTCATCTTCTCCTGCAACTCCTTTTAGCACAAAATTCCTCCTTTCTGTAATTAACCCACACACACACTGATTCCTATCCTATATAACGTTCTTTCTATTTTTATTCACTCTACGCTAGGTAAAACTTACACTTATGTTTTTTAATATTCTACATTTGATCATGCATACGTATTTTAATAAGCGCTCTGAATTCATTCATTTCACAGATAGTTCTTGAATTACTAAATTTAATTTTAAGTTGATTATTTGGAATTCATAAACCTTGTCTCTCAGAAACTGAGCTTGAAATAGATTCACATTCACTTTTAGAGCAATCCTTAGGGAACTCAGGTATCTATCATAGTAGATAATGCTGATGGAAATGTTTGCTACTGGAAATCCTTTGATAGATAGAACTCAGTCTGAGGTGGCAGGAGAAGAGAGGACCCTAGTAGCCCAGTCTATTCTTCTGACCCATCATTAGTCCCTGAGTCACCGCCTCAGAAACTCAGCAAAACCACACAACCCATCATACTATTAGATCTCTTCCAAGGAAAATGCACTGTTGAAGTAGACATGCTAGAAACTATAATGCTCCACAGGTGGTACCTCTGACCACACTGTTTCTGAGCCCTGAGTCCCAGAATTTAGTACCCAGGTCCTTTCTTTCTTCTATTTCTACCTTACTTCATCTCCAGTCTCAACCCTCAACCTCTCAGACCCAGGAGAACATAGTGTTGTCTCTGCAAATGATTGGTGCTCTCTTTGGTATATTAATCTGACTAACCAATAGGTGGGTTCAAAATGTGGACCCTCAAACACACAGAGAACTTTCCCTAATACTCTCCCGGCTGCCTCATCTGCTCACCTTGGCCTCCTTGTCCCGGCAAGCCTCGATGAGATGCTCCATCTTCTCCTTCATCAGCTCCGCCGTCTTCTCAAACTGCTCCGAGCGTGCACGCACCTCGCTGGCCTGGCGCTCCTGCTCAGCCGCCCGTGCAGCCAGGTCCCCGCTCCTGCGGCGCTCCTCGGCCACTGCCTCCCTGAGTCGAGCCATCTCCCGGCAGGCTGTGTTATACTTTTCCAGTAGGGCCTTTAGCTCCTGCCCCCAAGCCTGGGCCTGAGCTACCAGTGAGCCCCGCGTCTTCTCGTGCTGCCGCAGGCTGGCTGCCTCCCGTGCCCTCAGCTCGGCCACTTCCTCGGTGGCCTGGTAGAGCAGCTGCTTCAGCTTCCCGATCTCCTGGCTTTTCCCGCTCATTGTGGCCTGAACGGCCCGCAGCTCCTCCTCCAGTTTTCCCAGGTCTTGCTCCAGAGCGGCCACTTGGGGGGATGCTAGGACCTTTGAGGAGGTCTCTGGTTCCCCACGTAGGAACAAGGTCCCTTGCAGTTGCTGGTTTTCCTCCTCCAGCCGAGCCAGCTTCTGCTGTGCCTTGCGGTGCCTGTCCACGAGAGTGCGGATGCAGGCCTGCAGCTCCTCCAGGGGCTCGTCTGCTAAGCTCCGGGCACCTCCCTTGCCCACTAGGTCTGGGGGCAGGCAGTCCCACAACCCACGGAGGCCACTGCTCTGCAAGGCTAGGCGCTTCCGCAACTTTTCTGTGGCCTCCTTCTCCATGGCCAGTTCATCTGTCAGCAGCCCCACACTCCGCCGCAACTGCTGTAGCTGGCCCTGAGCCTCGGGCTTGGGCACAAACTCGCGCTGTAGCCGCTGGCTCAGGGACTGCAGCTCGCCCTGCAACCGCTGACGCTCCCGCCCCAGTTCCCCCAGTTCCTCCAGTAAGTTACTGTTGCTCAGTCTCAGTGCTGACACCTCCTTCTCCAGCTGTCCCTTTGGCAGGCCTCCTACTGGGGTCTGCTCCCCTCTAGGAGCTCCTAGAGGCTCCCCTCTGGCCCCAGTGGCTTTTTTCTCCTTCCCCTCATTCTCTTTGGTGATAGTTCCTGAGGTTGCCTTTGGGGCTCCCTCTTTGGTCTCCTGATCAGGGGCCTCAGGTTTCACCTGTAGTCCTGCCTTAGCTCTATCCAGCCTCACCAGCACCTGCTCCAACCTGGCCTCCATCTTCTCCCAGGCAGCTGCTGCAGCCTCAGCGCGGGGAGTCCCCAAGGCTCCCTCCAGCACGGGTCTTGACAAAGCCCCCCGGGCAGCATCCTTTTCCCGCCACACTGCAGCCAGCTCCTCCCTTAGTTGCAGCAGGAGCTGGTTCATGGCTGCTGGGCCCACTGGTTCGGCCACTGTACCTCCTGGTTCAGCCCCTGCGGCCTGGGGCCTCTCCTTCTCACCAGATCGAAGTTGGTCAGTGTGATCAGGATCAAGGGCCTGCTCCCCAATGGTGGTTACTTGCTGTCCTGTGGCCTTCCCAATGGTCTCAGACCTTAGGTTCTGCAGTAGCTCCTGTTCTGGTTGAGATTGTTCACGGTTTTCACACTGGATTTCTCTAGGGGCTGAATCCTGGGCCTTCTCAGGAGTTAATATTGGGTTTGCTGTGGCTACTTGCTGTTGCTTCTTTAGCTCTTGTATGCGCTCAGCCAATAGGTCTAGGGGACACCCCTGCTCCATGCCATCCCCTCCAGGCCGGAGACTAGAGCCTTGCCCTCCCAGCACTCGAGGCTCTTGGGACAAGAGGAGCCCCAGCTCCTGCACCTGCTCTCGAATCTGGTTCTCCAGGCCCGAGTAGGCTGCAGCTTGAGCCTTACACTCATCTGTCTTTTGCACCAGCTCCTGCTCCAACTGAGACACTTTCTTCTGCTCCTCTTCATACTTCCACCTCCATTCCTCTGAACATGGATCTTCATCTTCCTCTTCTTCCTGCTCCTCCTCGGGCTCTGCTCTCCATAGGCTCTTAGGTGGAGAGCCCACCTGGGGCTCAGATGGAGAGGCCTAGATAGAAATCAGAGTAATGAGCTGAAGCCATGCAGCTAGCTGAGCCTAGAAGAGGAGGATCTTTCTTCTCTTTAATCGTCTTGCTATCCCAGGGCCCACTGCCTGGGAAATGTCCCAGTGGGATAGCTTGGGGTGGGTCAGAAGTGAAAAGGGAAGTGCTTAGGGTCTTACCTGGGATGCATGATCTGGGTGTTGAACTAGCACCTGACCTACAAGAAAATATATGGGGAAAATGAGAGAGGAGCTATATCCTGTGTTATGGGTTTTCTGGCCTAAACATGTCTTCAGAGTTACTCAGTATCATACTCCTCACCACAAATGACTTCCTGGTGTCAAGGGCTACCCATGTTCAATGGGCCCCTAACTGTCCAGAAACTTTGGTTTCCTGTCCCAGAGACAGGCCAGCTCATTCATTTCTTTTCATTCATTTATTTTTGGGGCACCTATTATGTGCCAGGTGGAAGCAAGACAGGGCAATCTACTTCCATAAAGATTTATTGCCTCCAAAACCCAGTGGGGGTCACTATGAGTTGGAATCAACTCAATGGCAGTGGGTTTGGTTTGGTTATTTTGTGCCGGGTACTGGTAATGGGCACTGGGACCTCAATGGTAAGCAAAATAGAAATGGTCTGTGATCTGAGTAGTTTCCAATCTAGTAGAGCAAAGAGAGATTGGCCAGCAAATCACTCAAATAGATGTAAAATTACAACTAATAAATACTAACAGAAGCACCACCCAGAGCCACCCTCCGTGAGAGACAAAGCTGTATTAAGGAATTTTGTGACTATGCCTTTGGGAATTTGGGATCATCTCATAACAGCAGCACTAAATAAGTAAACTCTCAACTAAGGTGACAACTATTTGTCATCTAAAATTTTTCCATGGGAACAAATGGGATTCCAAGAAACTTCTTTGAGTCTAAGGCTATAGCAGAGAAACTTGAAGAAGTTACAAAAGGGAATCGGCTTTACCTCCCCGCCGTCGCCGGTTCACAGCCTGCCGTAACAGTCTCCATAGTGCCTTGTCCTGAGTGTGCAGAGCATAGTGCAAGGCATCATGCCCCACGCTGTCCACTGTCCCTGCATCTGCTCCGTGGCTCAGGAGGAGCTCAGCCACTTCAGCGCTGCCTTTCTCACAGGCCAAGATCAAAGCCGATCTGTGGGTTAGGACAAATCTGAGCTTTCTCCATGGAATCCAGGAATCCATGTTCCAAAAATTCCACTCAGTCAGGCTTACTTAGTGGGATCAGAACAAGAGACTATCAATGACAAAGCATTAGATGAGACCAAAACGTTCAAAAAGTTCCTTGGAGCCACAGCAGTCAAGGAAGCATGGGAGCAACTGGAAAGCCTCTATTTTTTTTTTTTTATATTTATTTTATTTTGATTTGGGTGAAGATTTACAGAGTAAATACACTTTTCATACAGCAGTTCACATATACTTTGTCTCATGTCATTGACCAAAATTTACAATGCAACAGCTCCCCTCCCACTTCCTCCCCATAGTTACCTCTTCCCAGTGTCCATCCCTCCTTACTCTTCTGCACCCTGAGCTATCTCCCTGTGCATAAGCAGCCCTTCCTTCTCCCATGATTGTTCTCTTCATGGCATGTGTCTACTTGAGGTAAATGTTTAACTCACATGCCTGTACTTTGTTTGGCTGGAAACCACAGGTGTGGGTTCAATTCCAGACCTGAAGGGCAGCTAGGGGCCGTAGTCTCAGTGGTTACACCAGGCTCTATTGGACCAGCAAACCTGGTCCCCACCTTCTTCTTTTTTTTTTTTTTTTTGCCTCCAAATGATTTTGAGTTTTGTTCCACATTGTTCTCCCTCTCTATGCAGGATCTCCTACATCCCTTCCAAGTGGATGACAGTGGTAGCTGGGCACCATCTAATTCTTCTGGTCTCATAGTTGTACAGGTTGCAGATTGGATGGTGTACCAGTCACTAGGACTGACTGTTTCCATTAATTTTGGTTTTCTTCTTTCTTCTTGATGAGGAGAGACCCGTTGTTGTATCTAGATGGCAGCTTGCTAGCTTTTAAAATCCCAGTCACTACTCGCCAAAGTAGGAGGTGGAACAATGTTTTGTATAGTATGTTATGCCAATTGAGCTTGGTGTCCCCTGCGGAAAGTCTCTATTTTTATCTGTTTTATGAATTAAAGTTCTGCATATATTTTTTGTTTGTTTGTTTTTAAAGGATTCCGTTGCTTAGAAGATAGTTAGAAAACCAGTAAATTAAGTCAATGGGTCCAGAGATATCAATTTTATTTCTGGCGTTATATCTATGCTAGAAGAATGGTAATGGCAACAATAACAACTGAAGAGTACAGTATAAGGAAAACTTCTTCCACTCCCCAAGAAGAAAATAGAAAAACAGCAGGCAGAGCCCTTCTGAATCACCACTAGGAAGGAAAGAAGCGCCCAAGATCACAGAAATCAACACACCTTCCTCCTTAAAACACACACACACACTTTCCCCAATGCTCCTGTCTAAACTGATCAACATCTGGAAATTGGTAAGGGAAGATGGGGGTGCTCACTTGTCATCCTTGTCTGTGACGTTAACTCGGGCACCTCTCTGCAGCAGCTGGGAGCAGATAGCTGCATGACCACCCAGCGATGCAATCATCAGGGGCGTCCGTCCATCCTGCACAGATTGTAGGAAGGGGGTTTATGAAAAACCATGGAGACCCAGGACTTGACACGGTCCTACCAATTCCCCTTTCCTCACACCTCTCCAGAAATAAGGCCAGAGCCTGGGGCTAAATGCTCCCTTTCAGAGGATTAGGAGCCCCCCCAGAACAAGACCTGGCAGGCCCTCTGTGAGGAAGAAAAGGAGATTGGAAGAAGGAAGAGGAGGGGGTGGTGCTGTCCAGCCCCTGGTCATGGAACTTGGCCAATCAGGCCCAGAGAGAGCAGCAGCCTCCCTGTACAGAGCACTACCCAGCTGCCTATTTGATACTTACATTATCCAGAACGTCCAGGAAGGCTTCATGGTCACAAAGCAGAAGCACGCTTGAGGCACAACCAGAGGAGGCTGGGAAGGGTTGAGGGATGGTTAGTTTAAGGTGGAAGCAGGAAAGATACCTGCTCAGACTATGAATCAGCATCCCCTCTGACCATTTCAGCAGTCAACTCTGGCCTGCCCTTCCTACCACATGTCATCATCCCTTTCTCCTTCCCACTCTACTGCCCCTGCAGCCCTCTTGCAGCCAGTCCCTTGGTACACACCTGCCCAGTGCAATGGACTGCGGTTTTCTGCATCTACAGCATCTTCATTGGCACCATGCTGCAAATAGTCACAAGGGAAGGAGCATGGAGCTTGGTATTAACATCCCCATCCTACACAGCCTGTTGGGTCATCAACTTCCATGTGATGTGGGGAGTGGTAGAAGGACCATGACACTTGGGAATGCCAACTATGAGACAAGTCTAGTCAATTCCCTGCAGATTACAGGCAGCCTTATATTTTAGCCCTAGTTCCTAAACCTGGGGCCTAAGAAAAATTAGACTATAAATAAATAAATGTTACGGAAAATAACACTTGAGTCCATGGCTGGTACTGTAGGATCATAACTGGGGACTCTTGGAAACGGCTGGGAAGAACAAAAGCAGGATAATCATTTCCCCAGTGGCCTATTGGAGTAGTCTATGCCTTCTTAGGGAGCTCTGGTAGCATAGTGCCTAAAGGCACTTGACTGCTAACCAGAAGGTTGGCGGTTCAAATCCACCAGCCACTCCTCAAATGGAAGGTTGGGCAATCTACTTCCATAGTGATACTGCCTCGGAAACCCAAGGAGGGGTCACTATGAGTCGGGGCCGACTTGACACCACACAACAACAACATGCCTTCTTACTTTTGAGGATTTAGTTTTTAAGTTGTCCACATATCATTTCACATGTATATTTCTCCTCTGTGCTTCTAGATAATAAACTCTTCAAAAGCAGACTGTAGGGCTTTGGTTTAATTTGAATAACTCTGTCCTCCTTCCAAGGAGCTCTGGTGGCATAATGGTTAACACATTCAGCTGCTACCCTTAAAGTTGGCAATTTGAACCTACCTGCCTCTCCCTGGTAGAAAGATGAGGTAGTCTGCTTCCATAAAGATTTACAGCCTTGGAAACCCTATTGGGGGCAGTTCTACTCTGTTATACAGGATCACTATGAGTCGAACTTGGCTCTCTGGTAGTCGGTTTGGTTTGGTTTTGGCCCTCCTTCCAGAGATCAAGGGTGGTAAAAACAGTTAAGGGCACAATTACCAGCTGAAAGATTGGCAGTGCAAAGCTGACCCAGAGATGCCTTGGAAGGTGGCTGGCAACCTGCTTCCAAAAGGTCACAGCCTTGAAAACTCTATGGAGTAGTTCTACTCTGCACACATGGGGTCACCACGAGTTGGAATCAACTCCCTGGCAACTAACAACAGCCCTCCTTCCACCTGCCCATCATCATGGCAGTTGGTGTCTACAGTAGCTCTGCAAATGGTGACGCTCAATATATGCATATTGACTGACTGCCAGATAGGCCCTGGCAACTCTGCTCTGTGGCCTGCCCTTAAAGGCAGTATTGAAATTGGTGCCTGGAACACAACCAAAAAAAAAAACAACAAAACAAATGCATTGCCATTGGGTGAAATCCGACTCACAGCAACCCTTCCTTGGGTTTCTGAGGCAGTATCACTACAGAAGTAGCTTGCCCAACCTTCCTTCCGGGGAGTGGCTGGTGGATTTGAACCACCAGCCTTCTGGTTACCAGTCAAATGCCTTAGGCGCTACGTAGGTGTTAAATAAAGGTTCATGAATAAATTATTACCAGCCCATTTACTGGGGGTGAGAGGGGCACATTTGGCCAAATATTGCTTATAACTACAAGACAAGGTAGGGAGACTCTGGTCCATGTCTTCCCTTCACAGGAGTGGTATCAAGGGGTTGCTCTTACTTGCAGCAGGACCTTAACACACTGGGGCTGGCAGGAGATGGTGGCCAAGTGTAGGGCGGTGCTTCCTGAAAAGAGACAGTGGGAGAGAAGGAGGGTGGGTGGCCCCATGCATACTTATGACTCACAGGGAAGGAAGGCAAGAGACGCACAGATAATCAGAGGGAGATTAGAGAGAGAAACTCTCTGCCACATGGGGCCAGAAAATCCTGTTCCCCGAATGCCTGGTACCTATGGTGAAGGTGGGAGTGGGGGTGGGGTAAAGGGTGGGGTGCGCCCTACTTGCAGGGAAGGGAACCCCTGGAGGGATGCTAACCAACCGGGACTTACTGAGGGGATAAGCAGGGGGCCATAGTTAAAACCTCCAGCAGGGCCCAGCAATGGCCCCTACTGCTGATACAAAGGGAGAAGCAAGCAGAGTACTCTGCTGCTCGTCTCACTCACCGTCCTCATTCTTGCTGTTGATGTCGGCCCCATTTGCAAGCAGTATAGTCAGACACTCTGTCAGGCCTTTAGAGGCTGCCAGATGAAACCTGCCAGAATCGGGGCCGAGACACAGAAGGATGAAGGGTCCAGGGGATGAGGAGTGGGAGAATCCTAATCAGTTCTTCCTGCCATGTTCTCCCAACCCAAAGCCAGTCCCAAATGCAGAGAGTCTGACTTCTGATAAAGTCAGAGGAAGCTAGAGGTGAAGACAGAAATAAGAACTGCAGGTCTTAAGGAATCTCAGACTATAGCAGGAATGTCCAGGGAACACATAATTTATCTGCTCTCTGAGCACAGGACCCTCAACAGAGCTGGAAGTGCCATGGAAAGAGCTACTCAGAGCAGAGCAGAAAGCTGGACATTTGAAGGCTGACTTGGGCAGAGATAAGAGATAACACCACTCCCTCTAGCCATGTGCCTCCCATGGCTACTATTTCATTCCTAATTTCCCAAGCATACACACCCTCCTATTTGTGAAATGAAGAAATACTAGTCTTTATTTAATGTATGTATTAGTTTACTGTTTGTTTAGTGGGCTTTATGTCCTTGTTAGGCCAGTATTAGGAGATGGATGGAAGTCAGGGCCAGTATCTTCTTCCTTCATTTTGCATAGCACTTGATACACAGCAGATTTATTGATATGTTTGTTAATTAAGACAACAAAAGGGGCTCCTCTGAAGTTGTAGGTATTCCCTGGTCCTACATCATATTGAAGTTTGGGGATTGAAAGGGAACCACATACCAGGGGTGGGGTCAGGAGGACTTACTTACGGGGACTGGCCATTTGAGTTTAGCTTGGTGGGTCGGGCTGACTTCCTGGAGGCCAGGGCAGCCACACGCCCCACGTCCCCCCGCTGTACTGCCTCCAGCAGCTTCTGATCATGGCGGTTCCATCTCTCCACCTGGTCCAGAACCACAAATTGTGTGAATACGAGGGGTAAGAATAGAACGGAGAAAGACAAGGAGATGGTCAGGATGCCACACAAAGGAAAAAGACATCCTTCAAAGTTCCTTAAGTAACTCAGCACAGATCATTTAGTCCTTCTTGTTGTTGTTGTTATGTGCCGTCAAGTCGGACCCGACTCATAGCGACCCCTCCCTGGGTTTCCGAGGCAGTATCACTACGGAAGTAGATTGCCCCATCTTCCTTCCGAGGAGTGGCTGGTAGGTTTGAACCGCCAGCCCTCTGGTTAGCAGTCAAGTGCCTTAGCCACTATGCTACCAGAGCTCCCTAGTTCTTCTTAGGTGGACCAATTAAATAGTCACCAAGATAGGCCACCAAGAACTATTGTCAGTTATCGTCAACTCTGGGCCAAAAAATGTGCCTGGATGACTAAATAAAAACCATTGATGAGTGTTGAATGCATAGTATTTCAAGTTTCTTTTTATCATCATTATGATTATGATGATTGGTGTTGGTTAGATGCCCAACTGCAGAGCAATCCTAACCATGACTCCTCTTCCTTTTGCTCTCTAGGTCTCCTGCACCAAGTGGAACCAACCTGACCACTCTGGGCTTTCATTGCCTCTCACCTCCCCATGCTGCTCTGCTTTCTGTCCTCGGTTATTGCAGCCTAAAAATCCTATGAGGCAGTTCTACTTTGTCACATGGGGTCATTGTGAGTCTCAGTTGATTTGATGGCACCCAACAGCAACAATTTGAGAACTAAGCCAAAGCACCTAGTTTCAGGTCACAGCCAGGAGGCCATACCTAGCTATACCACCTCTTCCTATTGGCTTTGGGCCCCAGAACTGGCAGAGGGAGCACAGAGTTTCTGTTTTCCTACCTCATATACTGTGCTCCTTAAGGCACTCTGCTGGCGCAGCACCTAAGGCATTTAACTGATAACCAGAAGGTCGGCAGTTCAAACCCATCAGCTACTCCATGGAAAGAAGGCTGGGCAATCTACTTCTATAAAGATTTACTGCCTTGAAAACCCAATGAGAGTCACTATGAGTTGAACAGATTCAATGGCAGTGGGTTTGGTTTTGGTTTTTTATTCCAAGCTCTTTAGCTAATCTCCCTTCTCCATTCATGACAACAACAGAAAGCAAAGGTAGGACCCTGGCTATTCTTGAGGAGGCAGCAAGACGCAGCTCCTTTCTCTCCTCTCCCCTCTCCTCCCTCCTAGTTTCCCTGGCAGGGAACAGCTGTCCCAGGTGACAACCACACCTGGGCTGCATTGTTCTATCATTCTGGCTTGAATTTTGTTGGCAGTGGGGTAATTAGAATAATTGAAGTACTACAGGGCATGAAAGAGCTGTGTGAAAACACCCAGGGCTGAAAGCACAGGAAAGCCTGGTTTGGCCCTAAGAAGAGCAAAGAGAGGAAGAAGAGATGCAAAGATCTGTGGTCGGGTGAAAGGGTCCTACATGAATATTTCGTCAGCTGGCCTAGGTTCAGGGCCTGGTTGAGCTACTTTCTCAGCTCTGTGACCTAGAGTACCACTAAACACCTCTAGCCTACTTCCTCCTCTATAAAATGTGGGTAATAATAAGTACCTCATCATGTTGTATTAAATGAGCTAATGTATATATAAAATCTCTTTGTAAACTAGAAAGAGCCTTACAAATGTATGGCATCCTTATAACAAAACAGGAAGTGGTAAGGGATTGGTAGCACATATCGCATCTTATGAGATGTGATCCTAACAAGAAAGAGGCCATGGGAGGAGGTGGAGAAAAGTAGGGTCTATGGAAGCCCAATAACTCATTTCCAAATACTGTTTATATAACCAGGGCAAATTAATCATCAACAGGAAAGAGTGTAATTGCCTAGACCATAAAGTTATCCAATGCAAACGGATTCTGAGGTCATACTCCTGTACAGCACTTGTAATTTCCCATAATCCTTCCAAGTGCTATTTCAATTAGCCTCTCAACATCCCTAGAAAGTAGTTAGGGATGATATTATCTATATGACAGAAGTTGAAGCACACTGAGGTGAGATAACTGTCCAGAGTCATACTACAAAATAGTGGTAAAACTGGGATTAGAACCCAGGCCATTTGACATCCAATCCCAGTTCTCACCATGGCACTACACTATTACAGAGTTATGGAAGAAATTAGTTAATTTCTAGATAAACGGTCTAAGACTGCCTTCAGGGCAAATTCACCTACCCTCAGACGCTACTCCCTGCTGGGAGAATAGTCTCCAAACAAATTAATTCTCAAAGGACAAAATAAGCAAAATGACTGCACATTACAACAGACTCTGAGATGTAAGAACACACTATTCAATACCCTGGGGGGCGAGTTTACCCCCAGAAAAAGCAGACAGCTAGAACTACACTTCCATCTCATGGCATGGCTATCAGCTGAGCTTGACTTGAAGTTTTTTGTTTAAAATCCTGACTCTACCACTTTCTATCCCTGCCCAAATTTCAAGTAACAACCTTTCTAAGGAGCCCTGGTGGTACAGTGGTTAAGTGCTTGGCTGCTAACTGAAGCTTGGCAGTTGGAACCCTTCAGCTGCTCTTCAAGAGAAAGATGGCAGTCTGCTTCTGTGGGGGTTATATTTGTGTGTCAACAAAGCACTTAGCATAGTGTCTTCACATAGTAGGTGACAGTAAATGTTAACTCCAATCGTCATTCTTCCTTGTCTTGCCGAACACATTTTGGGTGTCCTCGAGCTCAGAATTCCCAGCCAGGGAAGTAGAAGAAAGGGATCTTGTTTATATCGGCCTGTGAATAATCCATCCAATTTGCTTTCTATAATCTCGTTTTTCTAAGAGTTCAGAAAGGATACAAATAGCCAGATCTCTGAAGAGATGGGGTGGTGAACAGAAGGATCGTCCCAAGTTCAAGATTCAGCCTCTGTCTCACCCCAACTCCTTAGAAAGAAGGCACTGGGTTACCATCACAGCCTCAAGGGAGCAATCCCCAAACTAATCAGCACACTTAAAATGAGGGCAAGCTGTGCATTTCTGTGGCCAAGATAAACTTTGTAGAAGTAAATGAGCCTCTCATCTCCAGCTGTGTACGAATTAGCATCCTATCCAAAGGGATGAGTAGAGAAAAGAGTACCAGGTGAACAGCAAGAGGAAGGCTGCCCTGAAAAACCAGGATCTGACTCTCAGTTGTTTTTTCAATGCAATAAATATTCCTTTAAGCTAGTCCAGTGTCAACCATCTAAAGCGATTTCCTGGTCTACTTCCCACATAGGCCAAGTAAGCTAATACATGAGACACTTCAAAAAACATCCTTCAATAGACTAAAATAAAATGGGATTAGAGGAGCTAGTTTTAGTTTATTTGTTGGTTGAACTTCCTATATTCTGGATAACAGATTAATTTTTAAATAATCACTGCTTTTTCAGTCTTTATCTCAGACTGAGGGTACAGGGCTCTGGACCTATGGGTGGGAATAGGGACAGGCAATTTTCCAGCATGACTGGGAAGCCAGATTTGGGGTTTGGCCGAGAAGGCTGTCACTCTACTTCTCTGACAAACGGTCCAAAGTGGTTGGTCACAAAAGGAATGGAAGAATTTACGATTCGAAGTGTGGGGAAGTTTCACGAGGTAAAAATTTGTAGCTGAAAATGTCCTATTTTCAAGTTTTCTGTGATACCTGCCTGAATGAGGAAACCCTACAGCCAGAAAATCAAACCCACTGCCATCAAGTCTATTCCAACTCATAGTGACCCTATAAGACAGGGTTGAACTGCCCTACAGGGTTTCCAAGGATGGTGGATTTGAACTGCTGAACTTTTGGTTAGCAGCTAAATGCCTTAACCATTATGCCACCCGAGCTCCTTCCCTATAGCTCAGGGATTGGAAAATCAGGAAGGATGGACTAGTTTTCTCATTCCTAAGGAACAGAAAGGCTCCACCAAGCTTCTGAAAGGGAGGGAGAATTTGAGTACTTTCAGAAACTAGAGAAGAGCCTACATGAGTAAGAAAATTGTTATGAGGTAAGACAGAGTCCCAGTACCTTCAGCTTCTGGTACCTATCAGTGAATGCCTCTTGACTGGTTGATTAATGTGTGGAAACTAAGTGGAGAAGTAAATGTAAATGGGCCAAGGACAGGCCTCAACAGAGTTCCCACTCTTGCCTCATAGCTCACTTCCAGGCTTCTGTGGAAAAGTGAGCTAAGTGAGCATTTCATGTTTGCTTATGAGGGACACCACTAAGTCAGGTTAAACTAAGCAATATTGCTAGAGTAAGCTGGCTAATTCACTTCTAAATGAACCATAATCCAAACCTCCACAGAAAATTACATCCCAAGGTAGGGGGTGTCTCTTTGTAAGAGATCTTCAGAAAAGGAGAAGCTTACATCCTCCCTCAGCTACCTACCTCTTCTGTACTCTTTCTTGTGTTTTGTTCTGGGAGAGCATGTGGAGTGACTTTGACCGGGAACCCTCAGAGTGAGTCTATCATATTCTCTTCACCTCTCACCATTACCTTTCCCCAACTCATTCCAGGAAGTAGAGAGAACAAGACCTAAACAATTCAGTGAGGGTTTAGGGTGAAGGAAGGTTCTGCAGGAAAGCAGACAGAAGACCCTGACCGGCCCAAGAACCAGTCTGATGACTAGACACCACAGCAAATTGGCTGGGGTGGATTCTGCAGGCAACTCACCCAGTTACTTGGGAAGCGGCCAAGCAACTGTGTGTCCTCTGGCAGCGCCTGTCAGGCTGGCCAGACTGCAAGATTAACCCACAGAAAGCAAGCAGGAGGAGGTCCCAGCAAAAGAGAAAAAATTAGATTGGGTGACCACTGGGCAGAGAAAGGCAGAGGTCAGAGGGGAGAATAGGAGAAGGGAAAAGAGGTTTTCCAATGGGAAAGATGTTCGGAGTGATGTCTGAGGGCCAGCAGTGCTAGTGAGAGAATGGGAGTGGGAGTGCCATGGGGTAGGAAGGGGGCAAGGGCAGGGAAGACTCTGTGAAGAACTGGGGAAAGGCACAGGACTAGAATACTTGTTGGACTGACAGGAAACAGCAAGGATAGGGCCATATGCAAGGGCAAGTTTGCCAGAACAGGGCAAGGCTGGAAGATGGCGCTATGGAGCAGGGTAGGACTAGAGAGGGGATAGAGTGGAGTTGGGAGCTGGGGATGGGACAGATGCTGAGGGTGGTTCAGTACTGGGAGACAGAATAGAAATAAGGGATAAGACCTCGGGGAAGGCATGGGATGCTGGAAACACACCACCAGTTGGAGGTGTAGGAGTTAGGAGGGCAAGAAGGGGCTACGGGAGAGTAGGGGTTAGGAGGCGAGTAAGAGGCTGCAGAGCAGAGTCTTGAGGAAGGCAGGGCTGCCGGGCTGCACTGCGGGAGCGGAAGAGCTGGAAAGACCAATAAAGAAAAAAAGGCGATGGTGTGTTGAGATGGGACTCAGGACTTCGGTTACCACAGGGCTAGAAAACCCAGCCTCATTCCCATCCCTCCAGACATTTGGACACCTACCGACACCTGTGAGCTGGAGCAGGAGAAGATGCGCTTCATGGCCAGAGCCAGGGCCACGGGGGAACGGGGACGCGCGGACAGCGAGGCCACAGGTTCCCAAACCCACCAGACTCAGCTCAGGCTGTAAAAGAAACAGCTGTCAAAAGCAGAGCGGGCCCCGCCCCAGGATCCGCCTCGCCGGGTTAGAAGCGAGAACCCGAAAGCAGGGCTTAATACTCCGCCCCTAGCCCTGTCCCACCCCTGCAGAGGCAAAAAAAAAAAAGCCCGCAGTCCTCGGCTGCTGCAGGGGACTGGCCCCAAACCTTACCCTCCCAAACTGAACCCGCCTCCCATTCGGACCTGCTCAATCAAAGAAGGGCCTGGCGGGCTCCGGCAGAAACTCCTCCCCCGGCCCCGGCCCCCGCCGGCGGGTCCAGGCTGCGGTTCCGCCTCCAACCGTGTCTCAGCCCGCCCATCCAGGAGACACCGCAGGAGGCGGGCTCAGTCCCTGGTCCTCCCAGTCGGCTCCCGTCTAATCAACTGTCGTTTTAACCACTGGTGGATGGGTCGCGTTTATTTTTCCAGGGACCTTTGTTCACTTAGTTACCTCTGCCTCCTTCTCACATTCCCTAGCCAAAAACCCAGGCACAAAAGAGAATGTGAAGGCAGCAGTTTGGAAGCACCAAGGGATTGCGGTGCTGAGCCGAAGACCGCGCGGTTAACGCACCTACCGTGCGCGCCCTGGGGGACAAAACCTGAGGTAAACATCAGGCTCAACTTTCTAACGCAGTTTAGAAAAGAAAGAGTGGGGAGGAGCAGAGAATTTTTATTTTAACTCGCAACTCCTACTCCCCACAAAAAATTGTCTCCACTATCTTCACTGCTCTTTAGATTCAGATGTTCAGCAATTTTTGTCCGAACCATTGCACCAGGCTGATCTGATCTCTCTATTCTCCACCTTGCGGTCAGAGCAGCCCACTAAAATGCATATGAAACTCTACAGGATAAAGTCCAAAGTTCTTAACAGTTTACCAGCTCCTTCAGGAGCTGCTGGAGCCCTGGTGGTACAGTGTTTAAAGCATCCAGCTGCTAACCAAAAGGTCGGAGGTTGGTCCCACCAGCTTCTGGGGGAGAAAGATGAAGCGGTCTGCTTCGGTAAACATTTGCAGCCTTAGAAATCCTATGGGACAGTTCAACTCTGTCCTGTAGGGTCGCTATGATTCGGGATTAACTAGATGCCACCAGAGCTCCTAGATGGCAATGGGTTTGGTTTTTAGGTTTTTCAGGAGCTGGACCCTGCTTTCCTGTCCAATGTCATCTCTTACTACTTCTCCCAAAGAATCCAATGCTCCAGCCTTTCCAATCTATAATTCCCTTTTCAGTTGCTGAAGGAGCCCTGGTGGCGTGGTGATTAAAGCTCTCAGCTGCAAATCGACCTCAACCGCCTCACCAGCCACTCTGCAAGAGAAAGATATGGCAATCTGCTTCTGCAGAGATTACAGCCTTGGAAACATTACGGGGTAGTTCTACTCTGTCCTGGGAGCTCTGGTGGCATAGTGCCCAAGGCATTAGACTGCTAACCAGAAGGCTGGCAGTTCAAACCCACCAGCCACTCCTTGGAAAGTTGGGCAATCTACTTCCGTAGTGATACCACCTTGGAAACCCAAGGAGGGTTCACTATGAGTCGGACCCTACTGGATGGCAATTTTTTTTTCTACTCTGTCCTACAGGGTCACTGAATTGAAATCGACTCCACGGCAGTGGGTTTTGGTTGCTGTTGGTGATTTAAACTCCCTGGAAAGCCTCTTCTCACGCTTGATGGGCCCTGGAGGCCAAATATTTCTTCTGTAAAGCTTCCCCTACACCCCTGACACCCTCTGCCCAACAGAGTGCACCTTGTGTGTGACATACTCCTTTCTGTGTTTGCCATTCATTTGTTTACAAGTTTGTTTCCCCAGCTAGACTGGGCTCTTTGAACTTTTGAGTCAGTCTCTGACTCATGGTGACCCCATGCACGAAGAAAGAAAATGCTGCCCAGTCAGGTTGTTGTTGTTATGTGCCATCAAGTCAGACCTGACTCATAGAGACCCCTTCTTGGGTTTCCGAGGCGGTATCACTATGGAACATGGCAACCTTCATTCCGAGGAGTGGCTGGTGGGTTTGAACCACCAGCCTTCTGGTTAGCAGTCAAATGTCTTAGGCACTAACCACCAGAGCTGTGCTCATAATGCGTTGCTGATCAGACTGTTGTGCTCCTTGGAGTTTCTGTTGACTGATTTTTTCGAGTAGATCACCAGGCCTTTCTTCCTAACCCATCTTAGTCTGAAAGCTCCACTGAAGGTAGGAGTTGTGTTTCATATTGTTCCCCTTGTCTGGCACATACTATGTAATTAATGACTGATGGATGAGTGAATAAACGACAGAATGAAGAGAGAGAGAGAAAGAGCAACAAAAAGAAGAAAGAAAGGAACACTCGGGGGCGGAGGTGTGTTTGTGTGTGTGTGTGTGGGGGGGGGTTTGCTATAGTTGCTTCTCAAACTGGCTTTGCTCCAAAGGAAATGGGTTTATTGAAACATAAATTGGGATTAGAGAAAGCTCCATCTTGGAGCTAAGGGATGGAGAGAAGAATCTCTAGGTAGAGAGAAATACTCAAAGTACTTTTTTAAAAAGTCAAGGAAAGGTTTATATATGGAGGAAAACTTTTCTTTGTTGGTTGCCAGGGGTGGGGAGGAGGGGAGAGGAGGGAGCACTGCAAAAAAATAAAAAAAAAAATAAATATATATATATATGCATTGATCCATGTCACTTTAGTTCTGTGTATTTCACTATACATAAATTATATTTCAATAAAATGTTATTTTTTAAAAACATAAGGATAAAGAATCAGATGAACCAGTCCTCAAGGAAATCCACCTCCCTTTAGGGACTTTGTTGTTAGTTGCCTTGAGTTGATTCCAGCTTAGGGCAACTCCATGAGTGTCAAAGTGGAACTGTGCTTCATAGGGTTTTCAAGGCTGTGACCTTTTGGAAACAGATCACAAGGCTTGTCTTCTGAGGCTTCTCTGGATGAGTTAGAACTACCAACCAGCTAGCAGTCAAACACTTAACTATGCCACCTCGGGATTCTTTTTGGGGGCTACTGAAATAATAAGGGGAGGTCTGTGAACATATTCCTAACCTCAGTCCCAGCCCCAGAAACAGGATATTCCAAGAAGGTTGATCAGGGTAAAGCCTATGTGAAACACTATGAAAGCTATTATAGATAACCCCCCACCCCTGCCACCCTTGTCACAAAATAACTCTCTCACCAACTTGCCACAAAATCAACTGATTAACTTAAAGTGCTAATGGTAGAAATCAAATCTGTCACAGACCTGCCTCTTTAGACACATAGGGTCCTTCTTGTCCCTGCCTCGTCAGGCCAGACAGACCACTATTCTCAGGTATAGGCAACAGAGGCAGAGACATGGCCTCTAGATGGCCATTGCACATGTTCCTGGGGGAAGCTGGAAGGGCCCTATGTGTTAACGAGGTAGGTCTCTGATAGATTTGATTTCTACCATTCGAACTTTAAGCTAATCAATTGATTATCACCTTAAAGGGCACTGAGGGTTTACTCCAAAGGGAAAGAGGCACAGAATAAGATTTAGTGGGAGGAGATAATTGCACATAGAAGAAACAAATCTTCAGGGTCTGTGAAGGGGATCAGGAGCATCACATGGTGCTTCAATAAACCTTTTTACTTAACCTTCACAACACGCAAGAGGGTAGTTTGTTTGTTTTTAACAAGAATTAAAAGAAAAAACCACTAAGGTGCAACTATTGGTCTTTTCTCATCCAGAGCAAAGAAGAGTGAAGAAAATCAAAGACACAAGGAAACAATTAGTACAAAGGACTAACATCGTGCAAACTCCAGCTTCCATGACCCAGACTGGAAGAGCTAGATGGTGTCAGGCTACTACTGCCAACAGCTCTGAAAGGAATCACGATAGGAAGTCCTAGGAACTACTTCCAGTAGTGATACCGCCCCAGAAACCCAAGGAGGGGTCGCTATGAGTCAGGTCCGACTCGACAACACATAACAACAACAACAGGAACTCTGGTGGCATTGTGGGTAACCTGTTAACTACAAGGTTAGCGGTTCAAACCCACCAGTTGCTCTGCAAGAGGAAGATGAGGCAATCTACATCTGTAAAGATTTACAGCCTTGGAAACCCAATGGGGGTACTATGAGTCAGAATCAACTCAATGGCAGCGGGTTTTTGTTTTTATTATTATTTTTTTCATTTAGATAGAGTGGGAGAAAATTGTGGAACAAAACTCAAAATAATAAAAAAGACCAAGCTTACTGGTCTGATAGAGACTGGTGGAACCCCTGAGACTATGGCCCTTAGACACCCTTCAAGCCTGGAACCAAACTCATCCCCATGGCTTAATTTTTAGCCAAACAATAGACAGGCCTATAAGGCGAACAATAACACCAGGGAGGTACAACTGCTTAGAACAACCAACCATATGTGATCAAAAGGGCAGCATTTGACCAGGATAAAGCTCAGAAGGCAGGAATGGACCGGAAAGAAAGACAAATGGAAACAGTTACCCCAGGAAGGAAGCGGGAAGAGTGCTGTTACATTGTGGGGATTGCAATCAATGTCACAAAACAAAATGTGTATGAATGGTTGAGTGGAAAACCACTTTGCTCTGTAAACTTTCACCCAAATCACAATAAAAAGGTGAAAACAAATAAATAAAAAACAAAACAAAACCAGTTGCCATTAAGTTGACTCTGACTCATGGTGACCCCATGTGTGTCAGAGTAGAACAGTGTTCCATAGGGTTTTTCATGGCTGTGAACTTTTGAAAGCAGATCATCAGGTCTTTCTTCTGAGGTGACTCTGTTGTTGTTGTTATGTGCCATTGAGTCAGACCTGACTCATAGCGACCCCTCTTTGGGTTTCCAAGGTGGTATCATCTACAGAAGTAGATTGCCCAACCTTCCTTCCGAGGAGTGGCTGGTAGGTTTGAACCGCCAGCCTTCTGGTTAGCAGTCAAGTCCCTTAGGCACTATGCTCCCAGAGTTCCCTGAGGTGACTCTAGGTGAGTTCAAACC